AAAACAGTGCCTAAGTATGTTGAATTTGCTCGTCTTTTCGTTGATGTAAATGAAAGTTTATTGCTGATTTCTGTATCGTATGTCTAAACTATATATCTGATCTTAGAATACCACACAAAAACAAGGTGAGTTATTTAAAGCCTGGATTTTATTGTTACATCTTTGTATCTTAGAGCAATACATCTTAGAACAATATGTTAAAAAGATTAAGTTCATGCAATCTGTTATTTCAGAATAAATAGGAAGTCCTTTTCTGCTAGTCACTTGGCATCGTCACGGAATTACATTTATTGTCCTGACATTTAGAGTCCATTGTGTGATTATGCAGGTTTTAGAGAGCACATGAACGTGCTTACAGGTTGCAGTCATAGGCCACAATCACTCTGTGCAATGGGTTTGTAGCAGGTGAAATCTTTGTAAAGTTATAGGTATACTTTGGTATTCTCGGTCTAATTTGTTTTTCACCGCTGCCTTCAATAGGATTGCAGTAAATCATTATCGTGGATTTTGAAGATAGCATCTTAAAAGAAGAAAGAACTTTGAAGTATTCTGATTGTTCTTATTTGTCCAAAAGTAAGCAAAGGTTTTGCATATAGTAATCTAACTTGTCTAACATTGAAAAAGCAAAATATTATTAATAATTTGAATGAAATAGCTCATTATCTGTAATGCATGAACAAGTGCACAGAGTGAGTTACAGCAATGTAAAAGCAAATAGAGAAATGGAACTTCATGCTGAAAATGTGCTAAAGAGTAGTAAGCGCATCTGATAATTTTGTTCTAACGTTGTACTCAGAGATCACTGCCAGTGGACTGATGCGACACAATGATTGCAACTGGGTGGGAGATGATGACAGTGTGGATGAAATCCATATTTGCAAAGGCTAGCAGTTGGTCTTTATTTTCTTAGTGGCAAACAAAATGCATTATTATTTCTTGTCCTTTGTCTATCATTTTCACACTATTTTCAACTGTTCTCATAATTCAAACAGAACATATTAAATCCTACTTTAAAATTGAAGGTAAAATGTTAAGGCCTGAAGAGTGTATGCATTAATATTTTTCCTATGAGTGGCCATTGCTCGAAAAGCTGATTTTTTTTACAGTAGATTGATATAAAGGGATGTAATTTGAATAATATTTTGTCATCTCAAAGGAAAACCCAAAGAAGAAAAGACAGGACTGCTATTCCAAAAACACAATACCCAACTTATCAGTCTTCTTACGGAATAAATTGATAGCAAGAATGGCTTAGCTCTTTCATCAATAGATTTCAAAGCATTTATTAAGGCAATTAATATAATTACCCTCTTTTTATCTAAGGGAAAATGTAAAAAGCCCACCAATTATATTCCTTAAAGGAATGGGCAAGTGCAACAATAATGGCCACAGTTTACTTGAAAGAAGTAAAGAAGTAGACTGAGTTAGCCTGAAGCCAGTGTTGGGTCATGTAGACTAAAGTAGCTTTCCTGAAGTTTGAAATGATACTGGATATCAATGAACTATGCATGTCAGTGGAATGAACTCTCCTGCAGAGAGACAGAAAATCACCTGTAAAATAACTCTGAGAAAAGGTGAGAGAGCTTTGGGTAGAGTGCTGAGTAAGCAGAGAATTGCAACAGTGAACAATGATACTGCTACCTCGCCTTGATTTCCTTTATGCACGGTAAAACGGGCTTTCATGTGCCTTCCTGTGAATAACCAGAATAACCAGAATTGCATCAAGGAGGTCCATCATTACCATCTCATTAACTTGAGGGATTGTACAAATCCCAGCAAGAATGTTTCACTTTACTTTAGCTTGATCTTGCTCTGTAGCTACTTTAATACTTCGGTGCAAGCCTCATGTATGAAGGAGACTGTCCAGGTCTTCACCTGAGTTGCAGTCATTTAATTAAATTGGACTCCTGTTAAATTGGTATAGATTATTCCAAACTAAACTTTAAAAGGCAAATGGCTTTAGAGAGAGAGAGAGCTTTGAGAACCTTTTAACAGTAAGTAAGAACAACGTACTCTGGTTTTTTTATGTGTGACTCCAAATTATTAACTATATTTAACATTTAGAAACTTAGTGGAGAGAATTTTTTACAGCAGTCCAAGGTGTTAGCTAAATCTCATGTCATTTTTCAGTCACTTTACTCTCTTGAATGTGCGGGCCACCTCTTAAGCAAATACAGTTGAAGTGAATTGTTGAACAATCGAAACTATCTCCACTCAAGCTGACAGAGTTGTACTCACTTTCATCAGTAGTCTCCCCTGCAAAGTTGGAAGCCTTTTAACACGTCAGTTAGCTATGCAAATACCATGGCATAGGTGAGTGAACCTCTTAGGCGATAATTTGTGGAATACGCTTACAATGTGAAGATATGAGATTATTCTGGTAACTGGCACTTGGTCAATTATGATAACTACTTAACCCGATTTTCCTGTAAACATACCAGGTAATTTTTAAGTCAGTCTGTAAAAAATTCTACACATCATTTTGGAAAGGAAGCTACCTTTAAAAACATGGACATGCAGAGATTTCAGGTCAACGGGAAGAAAGCATAAAGCTGAGGTTGGCTTATCTTTGATTGCAGCTCTGTTCTGTCGGGTTTCATACTTGGAAAAAAGCTTGGTGACTAAGTTGTGAAACCAAGCAACACATTCCTGTTAAAGACATAGTCTTTTTATTATTGTTACTTCTTTAGCATATGTGAAAGACTAATTAATCATTCCCTCGTGCTGAATGCATATTTTCAAATACATGATTTCAGCTAATCCTGAAAAAATGGAGTCCGTTGCATGTTTTCTTTTTATCCTTAGCATTCCACAAACTGAAACAATGCGGAGAGAGTATAAACAAATTAATTCGGAACAGATGGAATTTTGGCAAGCGCAGAGTTACCATTTCATGGTTTTACAATCTTTGACCCTTCCATATTTCTACATGACAGCAGAAGATGACTTAAAACTTTCCTGGACAAGAATCATACGCATGTGAAAAGATAAAGCTTCACATTTTAGAAACGGCGCTTGACACCTGCATTGCAGCTTATCAGGAAAAAACTCCTGGTAGCTCAGTGTACCATAAAAGCTTTTTATGTGCTTGCAACTTCTTTTGCATCTGAATGATGAAAGGTTGATATTAGGAACACATTAGCTTGTATTTACCAATTTTACAAGCTTTTAAACTCTGTCAGATAAAATACTCTAGGAGGCACTCGGCTGAAAGGGCCAATAACGAGAACAAAGACCACTGCTTTCTATTGTTAGCTGTTTCTTTAAAACATCCATAGAAGGTATAAGGTAGATTTAATGCTATTGACTGATCTTGCCTTGCATATGGGAAGTGATAGACAGGTATTTAGTTTAGTAGAGAAGTGAGGAACAGCATTTTATTCTTTATACATACTTTTGTCAGAAAATGATGAGAGTAACTAACGATCCTTGCCATATTTTTCTTCAGTTCTGTGCAAACTCTATCAAGAGTTTGCAAATACGAGCATGATTCATGTGAGCAGACAGGTCTATAGCTGGCCGTATTGATGTCTATGGCATTTGCCAGTTTTCAGTGTTTGATGCACCCAAGAGGTACAAGAAAGAGCTTTAAGACCTTTCTTCCTTTTGTGCTTATATGGCTTCCATTTGTATACTCTTTGAGGATCTTATATTTGATATGTTTATTCTTGCAAAATCATTGTAATGGTGTGTAACCTATAGACTTCCTGAATAACATAGACCTCTGACTTTGTAATTCTTGCTCTGAGTTTAGTAATCTTTATTTAATTAGCCATCTAGTCTTCCTTTAAAGACTTCAATTGCTGGAAAATCTACTTGTAACCTTTAATAAATTGTTCAAATAGTTAATTAATCTGAGTTTACCATGCTGTATCTTTTTTCCACTTTCTAGATTCAGAGTCCACCCACTGGGTCACATTATACCTGCCTGAACTAAGTTAAGAGCCGCACTATGAGCAGGTCTCTCTCTCCTTGTGAACAACATTAACCATAGTAAATTTCTCTATAAAAATGCCTCAAACATGCTTTTGAGTAATTCACTATGTAGGCCACTCATTAGAAAATTATTGCAATTATTATGTATATGAAATTCAGAATTTGAACTTAGTTAGTTGGTATAGAGGAAGACTGCCATGCAAAAGATTCCAAATAAAAGCCCTAAAATTAATCAAAATAAATCTTCATTAAGTGTTTGTCTGTAAAAGTGGGTTGATAGTGTGAATATTTATATTTGTGGTATGTAAAACTTCTTTTATTGCTTTTGTTCAATATTCCTTTAGAGTTCACTTCTTCCAGAAGCATGCCTATAAGTGTGCTCATTTATTGAGCTGTTTGAAGATCAAACATAGAAAGACCATTCTGTGAAAGAAGGCAAGCAATCTAAACAAATTAGATTTAAAAAAATTCTTTGTTGTATTCATCTGACTCTAAAAAACTCGTATAGAAAGTAATTTTGTCTAACCAAATCACTGAGATTATGTGCTTCTGGGTGCCTTCCAATTTAGCTAAAATGTCCTGGCTTACATCAAACAGGATTCTTTGCCCTTTTTTCCTGTTCCCTTTGGCTTTGTCTATGCTACTATATTTGTTACTCTGTATTTTTCTTTTTATTTTATCAGCTCTAATACATAATTTCTAGTGTATTGTGTGAATGTGTTTAACTGCTAAATCAATTGAGTCAGTTACACTCTGTGTTTACAAGTGAAGCCTAAGAGATTTAGGCTCTGATTCAGGAAATCACTGAGGTATATAGCTGAATGTTATGCTGAAGGCAATTTCCTGGATCACAGCAATGAAAGACAATGGATGATCCTTTATTATTTTTGGTCTATTTTTATTTTAGAAGTGCTGTGTTAGACACGGAATTACCATCTTCTCCTTCTTATGTTGCAATTTAGAGTCTCGATAAATTGCAGCTCCTTAGTAACATTCCTGCCCACTGACTCATAGCAGATGTAAGCCTCAACACTACAGAATTTAATAGCAAAAACAATCACAGGCTGGGAAGGGCTCTGGAATTCTTTGCATCAGCTTAAGAAGATTTAACAACTTTGAGTTCTGTCCAGAGGGTAAAGGTAAACATTGTAGGTACCTGTGAGGGAGAAAGAAGGAATTTGGGATAATTTCTAAACTACTGGGTTAAAAGTAATGTTTTTTTGAAACCTGCAGAACTGGTACAATGTTATGCTACGGTCTATGAACGTTGCTTCAGTAGGATCTAGCTATTTTGCTATGATATCGAGTTAGTCTGTTAATAAACCTCAAACTCAAATCTGTAGTTTCTAAATCTGTAATAGTGTATGGCTATATGAATAAGGCTGCTCTTGAGGCCAAAAAGTGGATCAAATATTGAATTATTCAGAAGAGGAAACTGGGTCAATTTATGTAATATTATTTCATTAAAACAAGGCAAAGTTCGTGCATGGGTGTGATCATTTAAAACTTGTTTGAATTTTAAGAAAGCAAATAGGAAAATAATCCATTCAAGTCATTAGCTGGCATTTTGGTAGAGAAATTCTCTGTTTCTTCTTCTTATTGTATGTATTAGCACTGCAATTCTTATTGCCCCTGTACAAACAGAAATCAGCTTCTGAATTCCATCTAGTTTGCTATCTCCAGAATTCAAGAACAAGGACACAGGCTGAGAGTTCAATATTTTCATAGCATAGAGTTTTTCTAATATCATCAAGTCTATTTAGTAGCTTGTTATTGAAGGATTCCAAAAACTATGACGTTCAGGAGAAATCTGAACACTGGATTGTCTGAGTAGCCTGTAAAGAAAGCCCTGGCACAGACAGAATACAAAAGAAAAATGTTCAAAGTTACCTTTCTGGAATTTCAATTAGGTAGCTACAGGAGAAATCTTCTCTGCACAACAATACAAGTGCACCTTCCAGGTGTAATCTTTGAGTAGTATATGAGCAAGCTCGTATGGATAAAATTTCCAAGTTTCACAAGAGTTGTCCATAAACCCCAATATTGCCAACATAAAAGGTGATCCTTTTTAAGGGCTTGTACCTTCGACTCGAAAATGCTACACTGGTTTTATCATTCTATAATGATGTGTGGTAATCAATCTACATGTCTATTATCTGAGATTAAGATTTTTCTGGGAAGGACTCCCCCCTGCACAAATTTGCTTTCTTTACTGGCAGACACTGATATTATGAGAAAAGGCTTGGAAGTGTCTCAGCACATATTATCTCTTTGGATCTGCTCGTATCAGCAACACAAAAATATTTGCTACATTATGTGATTGTTTTCGTCTGTGGCGTGGACTAAGATTTGTAATTCTGGGAGGGAAATTTTTGGAATGAAGAATGTTTTTAATTCATTATGTGTGAATGTTTATCAGCAGTTGTAGTCTCTCTCTTCACTTTTAATTATTTTACCGTGCAAGTACATTTCTGAACAATGCATTTTAAATAGCTATATAACAACCAAGGTAAATATTTAAATGGATGGAGAAATCGGTTTGAGAAATGACTTTCAAAGCAGTCTTCCAAGAGTGAGATTTTGAGCTTCACTTGAACACAGCTGTAACTTTACGTATGGCCAACGATGTACACTTTCAACTGCAACTAAAACAAACTTTTTTGAAATTGTGCAGAAATGTGCAAAACTAAGTAATGCGTTATCAACGTTAACTCCAAGACTGAATCTGCTGATTTAGTTAGCGTATGTAAAGCACTTGGAACATATGTGGGGCCCGATCCCCTCACATGAAAATCTGCCACTTTTTAAATCACCTGTAGTTTTGATTACTCGGTGAACAAACTTGCCAAATCTCATGTGACTGGAATTGTGGGGTCAGATAAACTACAGGAATTTGCACCTGCTGAGAAACTGGCTTGAAGGTATAGGTAATTATACATTTTCCACAGCAAAATTGTGAAGGGACGCAGGTTGGTGACAAGAGCTTCCAAATCCTTTATTTGTTCTCTTTTAACAGAACTATGTTTGGGCAGTCACACTTTGGCCACAATTACAATTTCATATCATTAACCAGATGTCACTAAGTCCACTGATGTCAGCGTACTCGCACATGGCAACGCTCAAGTTCCTGCTATGCTGTGAGAAGGCACGCGCTAGAAGGGTTCGCTGGAGCCCTGCCCTTTGCAGGGTCGGCGCCGCTCACTGTCTTCTGCCCCTTCTTGCTCTTTCCGCTGGGCAGGAATGTATGCAGGGAAACGTGGTTAGGTCAGCCATTTCCTTTCACAGCTTGAGTTTTCATGCATCTTCCTAGTCTTCTTGACCTTTCGCCTTTTCTGGGGACAACAGCACAAACCCGTTGCTCTCCCTGATGCTAGTTCATGCTTGAGGCCTGCCCTGCAGTTTTCCCCTGTGTACTCTTCATCCTAATGTCTCCTCTTTTTCTGAATGACAGGTCTGTCAAATGGAGCTCTCAGTTGCTCCCTATTAATACTCCCTTAATTCTTTTACGATCTTAGAGAACTTAGACATGTCTTTGGTGACTTGAGCAATATATTTAAATCATCACATTCAGAATTTTTTTTATGAGAGCATATTCCTCCATTGCAGCATACTGAAACATATCTTAGTTCAGTGCTAAAGCTGATGTAGGCAAACCTGTCTTCCAAGCCCTCATGAAGTTCCCCATGAGAGGAACATGCTTTAGAGAAAGGCGTCCTTTGAATGGAAAGGTGACAATCTGAAGATGACAAACCAAGCCAACTGCACAGACTTTACACTGCTCAGCACTTCCTTCCTTTTCTGCAGCTTTCTTGCGGTAGCTTGCACATGTTGTAAGAGACATGGTCTGATTTAATTGTGCCTGGTAGTCTTCTACTAAACTGTTTTGTTAAACTGTTCTGGACACTATGTACGATGTACCTGATAGTCTCTTTAAAAAAACAAAATCATTGTAGCTGTAAAGACATACAGTCCTTTAGGACTGATGCTGCATTCAAGCATTCACAGTCAGCAAGACCATGATAGAACAGTTCAAGTATTAACACTAATGGGAGTGAGGACGATGTGCTTTTAAAATGAAAATAACACAAAATTAAACAGAACAGTTTAATATGGATCTTTTGGTGAAAGAAATATAGTTCTTTCTTTCCTAGAAAACATACTTAGGCTATGCGTGGAGTCGGGACTGAGATTATCAGAGATAGAAGGTCATTTGCAGGCTGTCCAGATAACTAATGTACTCTGCGGTCACTCCTTTCCCACGACAGCATGTCACTGCCACAGATGGCAACAGCTGCTTTCAGAACAGTAGGGTCTGCAGCAGCCATAATTGCTACTATCAGTAAGGTTCACATGCAGATTTTTTATCATAACTCAAAACCTCTGAAATCCAGATTAATATCAGAATTCAATGCCAGGCAATTTTTGCAGATCCTTTTTTTTTTAAGCCTGAAATTTCACTACTCTAAATAAAGCAGAACTTGTTGCTTTGAATAACAATCAAGTTTCTAATTCAAATAATATAACATCTATTTGCTTAACATGAAGAACAACTTGCAGGTATGATTCAGAAATCCTATGGCATAGAAATAACTTAGTCTAAGATTTTCAGGTCACACTTTCTACTCAAGAAACAGTTATAAATAATTTATAACGGATTCTTTTGGAATCCTTAGAGATAGACATCAGCTGATTCTAGTGCTTAGCAGGTCAATGGTAGATGTTGCATGCGTGCAAAATGCTTAAAAATCCTTTCCAGGTAGCTGTAATCTGAGTCAATGGGGCCACATGTTTATCGGTCCAGTGCCAGATGTGGTATAACTAAGATTCATACAGATATAGCTGGGTCTCCTAACTCTAGAATTTTCTGGGCTGTGCTACGTGTTAATGCACAGAGAACATCAATGTGTGCGAAAGCCCGATGCTTCCTGCAAGTCTCAATTTTATTTCACATTCACTGTGTAGTAGATTTTCATGTGCACTGTAGAAATACATGAGACTTCTGCACCTAGAGTAGGGTTGGTCAGAGCTTCTTAAAAAAAACAAGTGTGTGGGAGCTCTAAGCGAGGCTACTGACCCTTCCTGATCCTTTACAACATCTAACAGAATAATCAGGTAAGTGGGAACCACAAGGGGGTCAAAGGAAGAAAAATTCTGGGAGCTTCTTCACAGGTGGGAAATGACAAGAGCTTCCTGGGTCCTCAGGCAACTGCAGGATGCATTTGGCCTTGCAGTAGATGCAGCTGGATCTCAGAGCTGCCTGCCTTAAGTCAGTCTCTGCTGGCAACTCATTTCCTCTTCTACTAACCTTCTGCACTGAATCTTTTGTTTCTGCGAAGTGGGTTTGGTTGCCTCTTTAGCTTTTCTTGTCACCACGGATAGCTATATTGCGCAAGTATTTGGTTTGGCGACATATGACTGACCTGTAAACCTCCAGAGGAGAATTGTATGCTCAGCGTTGGTCAGAATTTACATGAATTGTACTTCCAGATGTCTTAGATAACTTCAGAAACCTCTGTTGAAGAGCATAGCATAGAACAAAATAAGTTTTAAGACGGCTTAAAGAAATTTAATTACAGCATATTTTCATCTCACAGCCCTCTCCAGAGGTTTATGTTTTGCTTAGCATTTGGCAAAAATTCCTCTGGTGATCCTTTATGAAAGATTCTCCAAAAACAAATATGATGCTTTCAAACCAGCAAAACTCAGAACTAAAAAAAGAGGCTGTTGCTTTCTTACATAGAATATTGTATTTTTAAAAATCATCCTAAATATTTTATAGGTAGGTGATGAAAATCTGAAATTTAGCAGGACTGTAATTTCTGTTCTTGCAAGAGGTTTTCAGAGATAAAGTGAAAATGAAGTTTGATTTGCCTGATTTTACCAGAACTTAACAAACATATTTCATACAAGCACATTGGTTATCTTTATACAGTAAAAATGCAGTCTGCCAAAGGACTCTCAACTGGAAATTTGTATTAATTCCTATAGAGACGGAGTGGAATTTTCCATGAAGGTGATGATTCAATAAGCACATGCTGGAGTGCTTTTCTGAAATGGAATCATTAATTTCTGTGTGTCTTATGCTTTGTCTAACCAGAAATGTATTTGGGTTTAACATGTATTTAACTGATTCAATTCAATCAGTAGAAAAAGCAAAGTGGATACATATTTTGGTTTAAATAGGAGTTAGCATATGTATGCTAAATCAAAATATTTTAAGTAAAAAATGAGAAACATTCTTCACTTGATAGCTTTCAGCTATTTAACTAATCAGTAAAATATTGGCTCATTGAAGCAAAGGGTTTTAGAATGCTATAGGTCATACAGCACAAAATATGCACAGTCAGTGATTGACAGATGTCATCCTTGTCACCATTAGAATAAAAGCTGCATGTCATACAACAACAATTTTGCATTTTTTCCAAAATTACTCTATGACAGAAAAAAAGATTACCCTTTCCTGGCACACAGAAGTCATAAACTATTTGCTTTAGTTCAAGGACAACCACCCAAACTTAGATTTTAATTACTTGAATGTAACAGAGAGCTTTCTGCCTTTTAAGGACCGACAAGGAATATTGTTCTGTTTTCCAGAGCACTTTGAAGGAGTATTCTCATTTTATCTTGTTTCGTAACAGATTGTGTGATATTGTAATCTCAAATGACAGTCCTAAAATGCATGGAGACCTCCTATTTGAAGTGGCCTAAAAGAATAGAGTTTAGTTTTACTGGGTTTTGGCATTTTGCTTGATCAGACTGTTTTATACATCATAACAATCCCTAAAGATATTTACAATGTATAGGGAAATAACTATAGGTGAAGTCGATTTTTTCAAATAACATTTTAAAGATGTCAGATGTAAAAACTTAATTTTAATGTTTAACTAATGTTTTATTTGTTACTTTGCAGTTTCTAAAGAATGAAGATTTTGATATTGATTGAGTCTATCCTTGCAGCTAGCTTGGTGGATGGCATTGGCAGCTCTGTAAGTTCTGCTAATCAAGTCTGTATATAGAGTTTGTTCCAAATAGTAATACCTGTCCTTCACAGCAGTTACAGCTCAACGGGATTGCAGACTCATTGAAGGAAAAGATTAGAGTTCAGAATAAATCTGTAAAACTGGGGAGATTTGCTAGGCATCAAAAGATGTCCAGTGGAGATGAGTTTCTGGTAAGGAAGGAGAAAACAGATGCGTAAATACGCAAGGGAGGATAACTGATTGGGCAACAGTGTTGAAGAAAGTAATCTAAGCTCACAAGATCAGACATTGAATAGGAGGCAATAGGATATCTTTGTGAAAAAGGTATCAGGAGATTCATTAACAGGAGCATTGAACAAAAGGCATGTATGGTAATTATATTATCATTCAATGTTAATGATAACTCAGGATAACATGTTTAGATTTGAGTACCATACTTCTAGAAAGGCAATGCCCAAGAACTCCTAAAGTGTAACTAACTTGGTGACTGCAACAGTAGTATTTCTGATAATTCGCACACAGGAGGTAGAATGGCTCTATCCTTTGCTTCATAACCTTTTTGCCTACAACTTTCTCTCAGATAAGACCTACAGCTTCATGTTCTCAGTTATTTACAATTTACTGTCTTATAATACACACTCACAGACAATGATCGCACTTCCTTAGCTTCCAGCTCCAAAACCCTTCTTCTACATACCCTACCTCTCCAAAAAAACCCACACCCATGCACACATTTATTCCACCACTTAAAATATTTCTAATCTCACCAATCCTTGGCTCTCCTTCCTTCGTAGTCTGATTGTGCATGCACATTAGTTGCAGGAGCTGGGTTAAATATGGGACCACACATCCAGGAGCAGAGCTGTCAGCAACTGTTAGATAATTGCTTCTCAGGGTACAAACACTTGCTTCAGTAAAGCAGACATAACAGGTTATTTTTAGTCTGGTTTCTATTAGTGAGCACTACTGTCCGCTGGAGACAGTCACAGTCAAAATCACGTTTTTTGACTATTACAGCATCAGACTAGTTTTGCCTTGATCCATATCTAATAAATGGAATAGTAGTGTCTTACAGCTTCTAATTCTTACACTGTATCCCTAGGATATATTTTGCTACTGTATTACTCTAGCTATGCATTTGCTTGACACCAATGATTTTAACAGAGTTATCTCGTAAAAAAGTGGAGTAATATTTTAAAAGAGCAGGCCGGCAACCTGCAGATCTGTAAACCACATCAGCCCACCTTGAAGTTAAGCAGCTCTCTTGTGACTGTCCCATGGACAAAATAGGTTTGGAATTCCAGCTGTGAGAACTGTGCTGTTGCTGTTCAGCAGCAAAGTGTTATGGGACTTGTCTGGAGTTCACAGAAAGAGAGGCCAAGAAGGAGGCTAGAACTGGGGAGAGAAAGAGCAAAACATACCAGTACTTTTCACGTACAGGTTCCTTTCAAACCTCTATTTCTGCTCAGTCATTTCTTTCATATGCTACAGTTATTCAGTATGGATTCCTTGATTATCTGCTAGTATTTACCAGTATTGTGACCTTAAATCCTCTTCAACAGGAAATTTTTGTGTAATGTAGAGGTATTGCTGTTCTCACTATAATGAATACAGACTCTGTAAAGTAGAAGAGAATACATTAAGTGCCTTTCATTTTCATGAACTAATTCACAACTTTTAAGTAAACAAAAAGAAAATGTAATCTTTAAATGCAAAATTTAGAATAATATTTCAGACTGGTAGTGTTTAGTTTTTATTCAAAGGAATAGACCTTTTGTGGTGGTATGTGAAAGCAGTATCATACTGAATACCTTTTTCTTAGGTATACTGTAAGATTTCTTGTGAAGATTTTTTTTTTTTTTTTTACTATATAATTTAATCACAGTAGGAGAATGGCTCTTATCAGCATGAATAGGTGCAGGGTTAGACCTAAGTTTTCACTAGATCTGAAAAAAAAGCACTTTACTGCCTGTAGCTCCCTTTCCTCAAAAGCAGACTCCTACTCTTTGCAGAAGCGAAAGGAGCTCTTAATGACTCAAACCCTGAGACATGCTAAAGAGACCATCCACCTGAAGTCCAGCCTGTGAAACTTCAGGGGCCTTGCTATAGGGGCCAGCATTTCAATGGATCACAGGAAGTCTTTCCTATAGTTGAATGTCACCCTGTTATCCAAGTCTGCGAGTACTGAGGTAAGACTGATGCAGTCTAAACTTCTCAGTAAAACAGATGGTGCTGCAAAACTGAAGATAGTGGCATGGTAACTCCTTTGTCACTCTTAACTCATTATGAGTAGAATTAATTTTTGATCAGACTGTTAACATGGGTGGGTTTTTTGACAAATTTACTTTTATTGTTAGCATTAACTCATCTGGATGGGCCTAAAAACTCTACTTGTTTCATCAGTCTTTCCCAAACTACTGCACAGCTCTCCAGTTCTCCGTCATTTTCTGTATGCACTCAGGACTAGTCCTGAGAATTTGCAGAGAGCTGACAAGAAGCCTCTTCTGAATTTCCAAATTCAGCTCAGTTTCTGTGAAGGGTTTATATGAAGCTGCAGATACATGCTGAGATGATAGCCATCCTGGAAAGTTTGCATAATAGCACAGCCTTCCTTTATAATATGCAACATGTCACACGTTAGCCAGAGCTTATGGTTCTGGCAGACAGCATCCCTCTGAGCCACTGTAGCAAGTATGTCTCTGCATGTGCATATGCTTCTTTAAGTTTTTTCTTCTCTCATTTCCTGCTGGAAAAGAAGGCTCTAATGCTAGGGATCTTCTATAGTGAACAACAACTGAAAAAGATTTGCAAGGGAGTATTCTTAAATAAGATGGGCCTCTAGGGATAATAAGGTCATTGACAGTTTTCTTCATCCTTCAAAAGAATTTTAGGGTTTGGTCAATCTGCCTCTCATTTTACTGCTCCTCCTTGTGGTCAAACATCTTTAATGGCTTTTCAGGACCCAGCAGCAAGCAGATAGTTGGAGTCTGAAGATGAATCTGGGTGTGATAAGTCTAGTGTCACCATGTGCATTAGATTGCATGAATTAAAGCAAGCATCTGATACATTGCAGAAATACTTAGAACAATGGCCTGTAAATAGGATTGTTCTGCAAAGTCAGCATGCCTGATCAGCAAATTTGTTTTCAACATGACTAAATATTTAAGGCAAATGGAACATGATGGATAAAAAACATCCTATAAATGCATCCACATGCATTCTTTTATTTTCAGATATTCTCTTGGAACTCCTCTAGTTCATCTCTACCTATTCACTGAAAGTTAATTGTGTCCTCTGCAATTAAAAAGCAAGGGGCTTGGACTCCTGCAACAATTATTTCTACCAGAAATAACAGGACATAGTTGTGACAGTAAATATGGATGTTTCTTGACTGTAATAGAAATTCCTCTGCTGTTTAACTAGAGCCATAAATCAATTATGGAAAAAAAATGCACATGTTAGATTGAGAAAGTATCGATTCTTATTAGTACTGTTATTTTAATTCACAAAGTCTATCCTTGGAGTTGTGTTGACATTACTGATCGTAGTGATTCACCATCAAGGCAGTCAGTCTAACAAGAAACATGTTTATGCTGCACAGAAATGTACGGAATGGAATCTGCTTTTTCGGACAGAAGAAAAGAAAATCACTGTGGCACGAAAGTGATAAGAAGCATTTTGGTGGGAGTTTGCATGGAAAATAAATGAAGTCTAAGCCTGATTGTCCTCTTACTGATACAAGTGAAAGTATACTGATTCCACTGAAGCTGCATATCAATATGCTGCTTTAGGATAGGGCAATGTTCTAATATATCAACTCTTCTATATGGACAACAAATGTTACAGGCCTACATCCTTAGGTCATGTAATTAATGTGTCCCAATGAATGAGGTTTAACTAATGTAGAATTACTGCATATTTGGTCTTGCATGTCCGACAGAGTTCCAAAAGATCACCATCTGCTTTTGCTTTTACAGTGCTAGTTGTGCTCTCATGCAAGCACTGTAGCGGATAAACTTTGTTTGCTCATATAAAATTGCAGATAAAGTGTTACTGATTCAAAACCTAACGTCATATTTGTAAGATGTATCTTAAAACCCTGAGGGCTTTTCCTCCATCTTGAAATCAAATATGTTTGATACATATTTGAAACTGTACAGGCTGTTTTATTTTAAGCTCCTTAGATTAGATTGTGTTCACTTTGGGTATTTTACCATAGCCATTAATTTAAAAACAATTATTTATTGCTTTGTGTACATGCAGCATGTCAGGATTTAGAAGAGTTATTCCACCTCGCTTGCTTAGTGTATTAATTATTTGTACCAGAGTGAAGCAAGTGCAAAGTACCCCCATACCAGAACAACAACCACATTTCTCACCCACTCTGCATGGCAAAATTAGTGTACAAGTTCCAGCACAATACTGTCTTTAATTTTTTTATGCTTTTAATTTTTATTTTTCATGAATATTTGCAGCTTTTTAGGGACTATTTATTTTAGCATGCCAAAAATGAGCTTTAAGCTTTACAGATTTTATGTTGAGGATGTTAAGATGTAATCTCAGTGTTCATTGAAAAATGAACACTGGAGTTGAACGAGTATCAGTGTGGATTGTATTTCTTTAAAATTTAGGAAATTTTAGAGCCTTCACAATGTTAGTTATCCACCACTGGATAGTAAATTTTTGTTCATGATGAGGTGATAGAGAATAAGGAATCTATGTGATAGGATCTATGCCATAGAGTTTTTCCCCAGAATCCCCTCTGGATGTTTACAGTGAGAGCTTGTAGTCTAGCCATTAAAGAGAAGGTACCTTCACAAAGCAGGTGTACTGTGGATGCTCTGTAATTCACTAAATAATTTTAAACAGGTAGCAATTGAGGTGGGAATCAACATAATATCTATAGGGAATTGTGACAGAAATGTTTCAGTTGTGTTAAATTTTATTTATGTTTATATTTTTTGGTCACATTTGACAAAAAATTGTTGATTCTACAATAGGCTGCATTTTCCTCTGTAGGATCTACAGAATTGTTTTCAAGAGCAGATACGACTTCAGGGCCAGGTGAGGCTTCTGGAAGATCGTGTGAAACAGCAGCAGTTGAAAATTATACAGCTTTTAGAGAAGAAAGAGATTCAGTACAATGACAGAGGAGGTGAAAACAATGTCATTGACTTGGGAGGAAAAAGACAGTATTCAGGTTAGAAATGAACTCATTCTTTCCATTTCCATTCATTGTAATGATACCCAGAAGCTTTAACACAATTAGGCCTATTGACATTGTTCTAAAAGCTCATACAAAAGTGTTTGTTTAAAACAGTGTTCAGCTGTTACCCTGTTGCAGTGCTCAACTCACGTGGTATAAATCAAATCAGGATCAAAGTGGTTTATTCATTTATTACATAATTACATATCATAGTAGTAATATATATATAGTACGTAATTATGTAATATATATATAGTAATATATATATAGTACATAATTAAATATCAGTCAGTGAACAATAAATTCAGAATCAATATCAGCAGTCCAACAGATAAAACACAATATTAGCCATATACAAAATGTTAATAAAGTCACAAATTTCTGACCACCCTTATGTAACTAATCTCAGAAAGTTCTAATTCCACGTACAAACATTTACAGGGTTACACACACCTTACCTGCCCCCTTTCAGAGGAAGCATATGTTAGAAGCACACATCCCCTCTTCGGAGAGTGCTGGTCTCTCATGTACCAATGAGAGAGCATCCAATGAGTTCACGTACAAACACTTGAGGTGTGGGACCCTACTTGTTGCATGTTGTCAGTCTACTAGCCGAAGTGCTGGCTGCTCATGGGGTCTGACAGGAAGGATGCTCCATTAGGTCTAGACAGAGGTCTCGGCACTGGCAAGGTCACTTGCGGCAGTGTCAAACCTGGTTTGACTGCTGCTCTATTGCCTAGAACTCTCACTCACAATCATAAATTTTCATGTTTCTTTTGTACTTCTTTTCAAGCTGACTCCTCCTTTTCTCAGAAATCTCTTGGTAATCCCCTGGTTACTGTTTAATCTGGGTGATGATCACCTTAAGAAAACTTCATCATTATTAATTTCCTGTTTAGCATTGTCAGCTTAGGGGCAATCATCCTCTCAGAAAAGACGGTTTCAAATATTGCATTCACACACACTGTGTATACTCAAATTCCTATCATATCAGTAGATGTTATCTCAGTCAAAACACTAAGAAGGGCTGTGCGGATACCTCAACACCTGTGATATCTCAAAATTAGACTATGCTTGCTGCAAAGAGCTATTTCTGTAAAGTGGTCTGGAAAATCCAAGAGGAGTGGAATGTGGTTAAATGTTTTGCTTTTAATTTTTTTCCTTTAAATGAGATATCATAGGATAAACATATTGCACAGAAGCTCTATGATCTGCATTGTTTGTATGTTGTAAATCTAGGTAAAACCTAGATTTTAAGGTCAGTCTTTGACTGATAAGGCCCCAAAGGATTTTGGGGAATTAGCTGTCTCCCAGTCTTCTCCTTCTCAGCTGCAGGCAGTAGTAATGTTCAAGCTGATGTTTCTCCTGGTATAAAAGAGAACTGTTTATAGGAATACTATAAATAAGAAGCAATACCTAACCATAAGATGTTAGTATACATAATAATACCAAAAAGAATAGTAATAGAGAGTTCTAGCGGCCTTTTCCTCATAAGATGAAACTTTTTGCAGACTACACTGATTGTGAGGAAAAAATTTGGCTTTTGTGGTTTGGCACAATGAAAGAACTGGCTTCTATCCCAAAAAAACAAATCATGCAAATGTATTCTTAATTACCTACCTACCAAATGTGATGTCATAAGCTGTTGTGATGGAGAATATACTGGGCCTAATAACTTTTGGGGTTATCTTCAGAATGATTTAGCCTAATATGACTAAAAATACAATAAAGCAGCTGAACAAATGACTAGGAAAGCCTCAGATGAAGTAGAGGATTTTAAGTGCAAATACCATAAACCTGCTGTGCTCTTTCAACAGAAACATTTTGAAAAATGCCATGGTTAAACATTTGCAGGAGTAAAATATATACAGTGTACTTTTAGTAATTCTTCAACCTTTTAAGATGCTTAACTGCCAAATATTGGCTGTGTATGACACAGTCTTATATCAAACAGCTAATAGTTCAAGGGATATTAAAATATCTTTGGTTATCCGTTTTATCACCAATAAAGATATCGTCCTGTCATAATATTACTTTTATTCCTTTAATACTGGAGTACAATGTTTTATAAATGTAAGCTCAAAATGAAAGTTGGAACTGAGCTTGAAAGCTGGAACTTGATTCCACTGCCGAATAGTTTAAAGACAGAATTTTAGGAATTCTGTGAAAGACAATGAAGGAACACCATTAGAGATGCAAAGAAGGAATATGTTAGAGACTTTTCTTTATTGTGCAAGGGACAGCATTATCCCAAAGCATACTGAGTTTTCCATATTCTGCTAATTAAGTAGCTCATTGTGAAGTATGAAGTCTGCATAATAGGAAAGATAATGACATGCATCAAATCTGACACACAGTTGCCACTTCAATGACTTCAGTGGAAGTTAAGATACTCAACATCTAAACTCCAAATTGGCTAAGATGGTTAAATCCAACACCTGGCACACATCATCCTTTTTTTTTTAATATAATAAAAATATGAGTTTCTATTTGTAAAGGCCTGAGGCACCCATATTTACACATATAAGCATGGCATATATTATCTCCCTCTCATTTTAATAATACTCTTAGTGTTGCATCATTTTGACTGAGTTTAGTTCAACTCAGGACATGAGAGTTTCTAAAATACTGGATTTAAGTTGTTTTTGCCTTCTCACCAGCATTCTGGTGGTGATGCAGTCCCTCTGCAGTGAAAGAGGGCTAAGTGCGTTTGCCCAAAGGAGCTGGAGCAAGGCCCAAACATTTAAAAAATATTATAAAACACCGTCCAAACCAATAGCTAGACTGAAAATACAACTTAGAGGTCTGACTGATTCTTGGAGGTTTGTGCTGGTTTCTAGCTGTCCAGTGCTAGAGAGTCTAAACTTTTATAATTGTGAATCATCTTGTTTGAATTTACTTGTGGTGTTTATGCTCCTGGAATAAATCACAACATATAGCAAGGCATCACATATAATAAAGCATCATTAAAATAGAATTAAAAGCAGTTGTGAGTCTGACTTAAATTTGAGTTATATTTATAGTTTATTTATGTATTCAATGTCCTGGAAAACTCTTCGTTATTATTAGGGCTGATTCATCCGTTACTGAAAAAGATTATTAAAAACACATTTAGCTGAAAGGTCTTTGTCCTTTCTTTGCAAACTCTGCCTGTGCCTCAATTTATTCTTTTTAATGTGGTTCTAAATAGCAGACCTAAGTTGTTGTTTCTGGTTCTTGTTTTTTTTTTCCTTTTCCATTATTTGTATCACTTTCCTTATAGCTTGCAAAATGTTTTTCCCTGCTGATATTGCATTTGATCTTCCCCTGTTGTAGCATTTTAATGTCAATAGGCCTGGATAGTTTGGAGTTAGTGAGGGGGGAATTCCACAGTGTAGACACCTGCTTAAAATTAGAATATATTGGAGTATTTTGCTAACCTCCTAAGCAAATTATGGACACAAGAAAAGCTATTTTCTATAAGCGAGTCAAATATTCTCTACAAAGATAGCTTTGCTGTTATTCAAATCACTTTTTCTGCTATAGTTGGTTCAAATCCTGGCATAGCTATTTGTTTTCGGTATAAACTGTTTAATTTTTATGTCTAATCTTCACTGAGGAGAAATAAAATAGTTCAGAAAGTTCCAAAGTGACCTGGAAGTTCAGCCAACATGTTCATAAAGGTTTCAGGGAAAATTTTACAGTTAATCTGTCCTACTTTTGCCAGAAAAAACAGAAATGTTGAAAATTATACGTCTTTCCTGTATGACTGCTTGATGGTAGATTACATATAAACAAAGAACTCCTTTCATTTCTTAGTTAACTCTTAGAGGAAAAAGAATATACAATTACACTGCAGTTCACAAGCTCTGAATTTTCTCATTGCTCTAAATGATGATTAGTCATTAATACCAATGCAGACAGACTGAAAAACAATATCAAGCCCAAATTATAACATTTTAGACATAAATTGCACTTTTTCAGGGGGTAGTCTTCTACTTATATTTGCATGTGTTTGATATAAGGGACAGCAGAGCATCAGGTCCAGCAACTGTTTCCTCAGGTCCAGCAACTGTTTCCTTTATCTAACTTTGGTGATTCCATCACCATCACTTGTTTGTGGCAGTTCTCCTGTGTGCTGCTGGACATAGAAGTCCACGTGTATTTTTGAAGGTTACTGAGTGTTTTCACATGTAGAGAAGCTGTGTAATTCTAACAGGATTCGAATGTGGATTATACCAATGTAAATTAGAAGCGACTCCATCCAAACCAGGGGAATTACTTTGCTAGTCTAAATGAAAATAGAAATAATACCATTTAAAGGTGGAAAAAGATCCTTTTAAAGAAATTTCAAAATAATTACAGCTCTATACAATTTTAAGGCAATCGAAATACAAGAGAATGCCGAAAAGTCATAAAAATACATTTGCAGAAGTATTTTCTTTGTATTAGCCTGGTTCGCAAGTGACTATTATATGACATGACGTGATTTCTGTTATTGCCAGTAAGTATAAGACTAAAAGACTGTGTCCAATGGATGTTTTGTGAACAGACTGTGCAGAAATCTACAATGATGGACATAAACAAAGTGGATTTTATAAGATGAAACCTACCCAGAGTCCTAATGAATTCCTTGCCTTTTGTGATATGTCTGAAGGGGGCGGCTGGACTGTTTTTCAGAGACGTTCGGATGGCAGCCAGAATTTTGATAGGTAGGTACTAGACTTGGTCGTTAAAACTGGAAACAAAGTAGAGAAACCTGAAACTAAATGGAGCTAAGTTAAATATTAACTTTAAAATTATATGACTTGGTTATTATCTCAGATAGAAAGTTTTCTGGAGTAATTCAGACTGGATATCACTCTGACTCTGTCAAAGACTGCCTGCATGATTCAAATGAAGTCTTGCAGGTTAAGTTAAGGTACTTAAGTAATATCTAATTTTAAACTTTTTTTAGCATCCCTCTTGTTGAAGCTGCTCCACTGTGTACAGCGTAAGACAGAAAAACAGGTCAATACAATATCCTTGAATTTAGGAGACATTACTTCTAGTCTTTGTCTGATTGCTCATGCATTTTACAAGAGGACACTTTAATGTCAAATGCATTTACAGTCATTGGAGCAAAAATTCTTAATGACAAGTAAAGGACCACACTATCTTTTGCAAACAGTAAAAATGTAAAAAAGTAAATATATAAGCAATCTGCTTGAAATAAAATACCATTAGCAAAAGAGTTTGAGAGAATTCTGTCACAGAGTAGTTTGTAGCTCATGGCAAAATGCCTCCAGGAGAGATAAGATAGGTGAGCACCTGATTTGTGTACCTCCTAAATGCCTTGACTGACCTCTCACCTTTGCCAAGACTTAAGCGTTTTTGGGAGTGTCCAGAAGTGAAACTTTTGGTCGTATGCCTTTTTAATATAAAACCCACAAATATTTACAGATGTTAAAAGCAACAAGGAGGTTTTTAGGACCCCAGGTTTTGCTAAGATCTGTATCTTAGCAGTGTTTGTAATTACTATAACTAAATTTACAATGCCCTTATGTAATAGAGAGAGAACTCATCCCTAGAGAGGATGAACAGCGGCAGTCTGGCCAAGAGATGGCTTTGCTTTTCTTACTATATAACTGCAGAAAGTTAGGAGTCTGGTCAGCCAAGGTCTTGTGAAGCATCTCCAGCAGTTTACAATTGCTACCACCACACACTGCCCATTCCTTGGCCTTGTTAGAAATTACCAGCTACTTAAGTCACAGAGGCTGCTTTCTGTTGTGACAGTCTATCCACGGCCTAATGCTTTCACCCATTGGTTAAAGTATGGCTGCTTCTCATCAAGCAAACAGAGCATATTTTTGTTCCCATTCAGATACATCATGAAGCTAAAACCACTGAGAAAGTCTCTCAAAGCCACTGTAGACAGAGAAAAGACTTGATGCCTTCAGTATACACATAATTCTTGAAACTATGCAGGAGTCTGAGTTGAAGAAATGTTAGACTCACTCAATAATCCTAAGCTAGAAAAAGCTTGCTAATACCTCAATTTACAAAATCATATATCCAGCTGCAGGAGTTTCATAGCTTCACCAAATCAAAGAAGATAAAGAAACAATACTTATTATACCTCCACACCTTTATCTACATTCCCTGGATTTACCCAGGAAAAATGTTTTCACTTTGGGTAAGTTGTTATACCAGAGATCAGACTGAGCTCATGCGTTTTCTTCTGATCTGAAAATCTATTAATCTTAATCCACTTTGAATGTACTTCTGAGGACTACTCTTTGGACTGGGCTTCACTGACGAGCGTAGTGTGGGATTCAGCCTTTCATAGGTGAGAAATAGAAATAAATCTGTGTAGATCAATAACAAATTAATAATAAATAAGACAAGTCTAAAATATTCATTTATTAATGTTCGGATATAATGTAAAATAGGAAATATGCAAAGAGTTCAGCACAGAGCCACCAAGATGGTCAGGGGCTGGAGCACTTGCTCTATGAGGAGAGACTGACGCTTGGTGAGGGGGTCTTTGAGAACACCATGCTCTTCACGATGGTGTATATTGGGAGGACATAAGCTGAAATAAGAGAGGTTCAGACTGGATACAAGGAAAAACTTCTTCACCATAAGAAAAATCAAGCAGGGGAGCAGGTTGCCCAGAGAGGTTATGCCATCTCTGTCCTTGGAGATTTTCAAGACCTGACTGGATAAAGCCCTGAGCAACCTGATCTGATCTCACAGCTGGCCCTGCTTGAGCAGAAGGTTGGACTAGAGACCTTTTGGCATCTCTTCCAAACTGAGTTATCCCATGAGCTATGATCCTGTGGTTGGATAAACATCCCAAAAAACTTACCTTTTTGATAAATCAGTAATTTACACTGTCTTTCAGAGTCTGGGCTGACTATGAAGAAGGCTTTGGAAATTTTGTTTTGGCAAATGGTGAATATTGGCTTGGAAATAAAAATCTTCATTATTTGACCAGTCAGGGTAAGATTTGTATTGTAACTACAGTCTTCCTTGTCTGCTTTGTCCTACAGATCTATAGACTACAGATCTGCAGGCCAGTAATCCACAGGCTATAATCTGTTTCTGTTTCTTTGCTCTTTTTTTTAATCCTTCTCATTAGTGTAAATCCTGAGTTGTGTTGTTAGTCTGTATGGGCCTTTCCAAAGGTTGCAAGGGAACAAAACACATCAGAATAATTTTTTTCCAAAATAAGGTTCAAAACTGTCCTTGGGCTGATGGCATGTGGGGAGCCCCTGCAAAATGGGGACCAGTAGACAATAGTATATCTTAAAAGAATTGTCTCTACCCTTTCTGCAGTCCACATCACTAATAGTCCAGACTCAGATGGTATGCTGCATCATTTCATTTAGTCAGGACCGCACATGACTGCATAGGGTATAATGTGAAGGTAAATCCACGCCTGTCCTCTTGATCGGGCTAGTCTTAGAATGCTATTTCCATCTTTCTAGTAGCCATTCATTCTAAGATAACTTCTGCTTCATTGTTAATTACTGTGTATTAAAATTTACCCATAAACTTAACCAGCTAACCTTTAAAAAAGGTCACTGTGTGATTAAATCACTGTGTGATTTCTTTACTGCTCTTTCTAGATTGAAAGTAGCTCATATATGCTGCAGTCACTATTCATATTGCAGTATAAATAACTACTTTGAGATTTGTAACAGCTCACATTGGGACCTTTCCCTCATTGCCCATTCAGGTTTAGCCAAGATGGATTTTTAGGTCAGTAAGGTGGGAAATGTGAAAGTGGAAGCAGAAACTAAAACTAATACATATAGATGGGGCCAGGTTTTCAGGTCTTGTAAACTGACATAACTGGTGAAATAAGTCAGCTTTGCATATGTACATGAGGATGTAGTCCTAGTTTAACTCTTTTATCTTCAGAGGAGTATAAATTTCATGTTATTGTCTTATTCTCACTCTCCTTCATTACCACTTCAAACACCTTACTAATATATAAAGACTATAAAGGCCTTTCTTTTTTTTGGTCTACACTGGAAAATGTGTATTGGAATAATTCTAAAATTTTCTAAGATGAATTAGGTCCATGAAATCAAAGAATAGCAAGATATACTTTAATAAGCATAAAGAAAGAAGATTAAAAAATGTGAAATATGCTATGATGATACAGACAATATTCATGATAAAGACATATAATTAGTATTTTAATCTTTTATTATAATACTCTTCTGAAAAATAGTGAGATAGGTTAGTCTAACAAAAATAATTTTTGTTGTTGTTTCTTAAGGGAACTACACTTTAAGAATTGATCTAACTGATTTTGAAGGAGAACGGCGTTTTGCACAATATACAAGATTCAGAGTTGCAGGTGAAGAGGTAATACAATGTTCAATAACGGCTAGAGGTTTTAGTGAAAATGTGTATTTTGTAGACAGTCCATATCCATACAGATTCTCTTATTTTCACAAAGGTGGTTTATCGAGACTATCACACTTTTGTTCTTACAAATGCTTGGAATTATCAAATATGTAGCCGCTTACATTCATACAGTGATTTCACACTCTATAAAATGTATGAATCATTTGGTTGAGCAATCATGAATAAAAGCAGCTTTTCAATTGTTGTTAATATTACCAATGATATGACATAACATTTGGATGTATAAATATATACTGCAAACTAATCTGTAATATTGTTTTTATTATGTTACTTACACGTAAAGTTATTGGCAAAATTTATCCCTGCTAAACATCTTGACACCCTTTCATTTTCTGCTATACCGTGTTTAAGTGGCATGACATTTCTGAGCATGTAAATAGCAAATGGAAGAGGTTAGTTTCATTCTTGTGGTTTCACTCTCTGACATTTTAAGAGTTAAAGCCATATAATGCTTAACTTTTTTTCTTTCTTCACATTTTTCACTAGCATTTATATGAGATGAGTTGCGGTGAATACTCGGGCACAGCTGGGGATTCCCTTACTGGGGGGTTTCACCCTGAAGTAAAATGGTGGGCTGATCATCGAGGAATGAAATTCAGTACTCGAGACAGGGACAATGACAACTATGAAGGAAACTGTGCTGAAGAGGAAAAGGCTGGCTGGTGGTTTAACAGGTATTTTGAATTTATATCAGTATTGTCAACTATTCCACTTCATATATATTCATACAAGAATAACATATGGTAGAAGATAGGATTGGTATCCTTTATTGTATTTTTTCAGTCTGCCCTTGACCCCTACTAGACATCACAGTCCTGGTATGACCGAGTCTCACCTTAGAGCAGACAGCACCTACTACACCGTTCAGGTTGATTTGTGATAAGATATTTGCCATAGGCTTTGACTTCATTTGAAAGTCCCTCTTTGTTATCGACTATGAAGACGAGCTAGTTCTGCCTCTTTAAGGTAATCAGTCTTTTCACAAGTAGGTCACATAGTTTGCAGATATATCCGTGTTGTACCTCATTCTTGCATTTCTCCTACATTTCACTAGACCAGATATGACAGTACTGCAGAATATCTGACAAGTGAAGCTAGGGCTGGGTTAATAAGCCTGAAGTGCTAAGGACATTTTTTTTTTTTTAACCTCAGTTCACAGCCTTTCATTCTTGTTATTCCTTCTATACCAAGATGGGAATGCATCCACTCACTTTCTGTCAGTGAGCATGACTGAACTGAGGGGAAGATTTCTTTAACTAGGATGCAGTAAAGGGATTTTTAAATCCTGCTTATAAAACTGATAGCCTTAGCATTGCAGCTAGGCAAGCTAGTTTGGTCTACTTAATTAAGTAGATAAATTCAGCCATAAAGAGAAGCTATGCAATATAGCTGCTTAATAGAGATAAAAATTGCAACTCAGAGAAGCATATTACTCTCTCACTGTGATCTCAGTTCTCTTGGGAAGAGCTGCCAGGCTGCATCAACTCCACTGTTTCTCTCTGTTGTGTCATCCTTTCTTTCTGTTTTTTAACAATCCATTTCCTAAATCCAGTTTCCATAAGCAGTCTACGACCAGCTCAGCTGATATGATGTAGCTAGCATCTCAGTTTGTTTCATAATTAATCAATTATTTTTAACATATTCCAGGGATGGTGGGTCAGCAGAATCTTTGAGACATACAGAAAAAAAATCACAGATGGACTAAATGTGTTGTGGTTCTCATGACGGCTAAAACACAAAAGGGAAAGGGAACTGTGTTGGAGACCCTTTTCCCTTTTTTATGGATTTAGAGGAATATCCAGACCTCAAGTAGTATAAAACTGTAATACCATGCCAGAGAGTTCATGAACAGTGAATCACCACTCGCTTTTAATCAACTGCATAAATTTTTCTCTCTTAAAAAATTTTTGCTTTTTTAATTTGGGATTGGCCAAGACAAAAGAATTGACCTCCTTGCAAAAGTAGATTTATGGCAGAACTTGGTAGTTATTAATACCTTGTAGTTACTGCTACATAACTACTAAAGATAGCTAGCTCCTACCAGGCTAGTTCCTATTATGGTTGTGGATTCGCTGCTCTTAAAGCAACAATCCATCTAGACAATGAAAACAAGTTGCTAATAGTGTTATTCCACTGGCTTGCTACCGACTTTCTTTTAACGTTAAGCCTAATACAAAACTGAACGCTGCAAAATACTAGAAAATGTCAGTGTCCTGAAATCCTACAAGAATGGTACTGGCAGGCACAGTGAAAGGAAAGCGCTCAGAACATGTATTTGTCATGCAGAGATAAGCAAACATAGAGGGAATTAGTGCTCTTGGCTGGTTTGTAGAGGAGCTCCCAGCTATGAAGAATCTTTTACAGGCAGCTCCATGCTATCTGGACTAATGAAATATAGAAACATGCAGATAATATGAATACCAGGGGAAGTGATACAAGTGAGGCCACACGGAAATAGCTCAGGTCTACTGCTACAGCTCAGTACTTGTTGCCTGGGCTTCTGCAGAAAAATGTCCTCTCTTTGCATTATGCTATAAGCAAATCTCTGGAAGAGATTTTCAGCTTGGATGCAAATCCACAGAGCTAGGTTAACTCTGGCACCCAGTGCACTGCGAAGGTCAGTCAGTTCAGATCTGGTAAAATCCAAGCTAACAACTCTAGCTGGACATGAGCTTACTCTTTCCCCAGCACGCCCAGTTTCAGTTACATAGCGCATGGGTGCTCAAAGTGATCTGCCACGCATCAAGTTGGAGCCACAGATCTTACTAGCTCAGGCTTTCTGCCTCACCTGGAGACAGCATAGCTACATTCATGTGGGGCTCTACTGGAGTTAATAAGCCCAGACAAAATTCAAATGGTTCTTCAGGAAACGAGTTCCATCTCTCTGCATCTGTCATACAGTTAACATGGAACTGAGATAAACTGTCCATCGACAGCTGAGAGTGCGCTGTACTATCGAAACTATTGCAGCACAGTTTTTGTCTTTATGAATTAGCTTATCAGAAAGAAAGGAAAACTTTTAAGGTGTTGATTTGTCAGTAATGAGCGCTGCTTCAAAATATTGTGCCAGTAATTACATGCCAGTTGTTTCTTTTGCATGTCCAATTACTTCAGACTGCATTCAGTCCATTACAGAATACTGTGTAATTTTGCTATTAGTGCTTCTAATTTAAGAGTTGCTACTGGCTCATGTTTCTGCTGACAAAATCAACTTTTGCCTGTTTCCATCAAAAGAAGAAAAAGAAGGGATTCAGTTGATCTAGATACCTCTTACCAATTACGATTCCTCTATGGAAATCTGTTTTTATTCAAAGTAAACAGAATGTCTGCTCAACATACAGATTATATCAACTCTGACACAAGTTGGTCATTCTCCAAAGCAAGGTCACTTTTGCAGATTATAAGGTTTCAACTAACACATAACCAAAATTCAGCTTAAAAATTGTAAGCAATGAACAAACATATATATATATGAGGATTTTCCTATGAGGCTTTTATCAGTGTTTCTATTTCAGTTCTCCATAACAGTTGTTAAAGTGTAAGCAAAGCCAAAGAGACTAAGATTTGCCAGTAATAATATCCATAAGGTTCATTTGGACTGTTTTCTATTTGAATATTTTCTGAGGTCTGCTTTTGAAATCCATCGTGGTGTTTGACAGCTAGGTATTAACAGCACTAATAACAAAATACTGAATTGGCAGACAAGCTGATTCATTACAATGTGCTGCAAAAGAAACAGCTGTTTTGCTCTCCGTATGGTCACACAATCGTCTAAACTCCCTTCTTTCTCATAAAAACCAAATGAGTAGCAAGGCTGTACGGATACCTAGTCATGCTTTTGGGTTTTGCAAAGTTTTTTTTACATTTACCACTGTATTTAATATACTGTAACAGTATTTCTGTTTCCGTGTGTTAAAGAACCAGAAAAGAATGTACTTGGTCAAATACAATGCCAGCTCTGATGATCCAGTGGATTAGTATATGTATGTTTAATCAGCTGCGAGATTTAATCTATCTGTAAACAGAAGCCCATAGTTTAACAAGCAAACTGACGGTGGTGTTCAAATTTTGTCATATGAAGCACCATGGGGGGATAAGTGCACACTGCAGAGGAGCTACTCTGAAACAACAAAAAGAAGTACGCTTTCTTTGCCAGAGTTTTGCTTCATGTATGCCATGCTGCTGCGTGTGACCTGAACAACTCTGGAATCTTTCTCTGCTAAAACAGATTAGCAGGCAAGACTCAGAGACCTAGAAATGTCAGAGAAAGGGTGCAAAGAACAAAAAGGACTTTTGTTGCAGCGAAGCTAAGAGCCCTTCCAGTTGTGCCTACTTCGACTGTTATTGTTTAGGGGCACTGAAGTCCACAAATGCAAATTTCTGCGGCTGTCAGACTGGGATCTTATCAACGTGGTGATTTTTTGACTTGCACAGAAACTGCAAATGCTTCCCTGTTTTCACCCAGTTCTTCTTTATGTTTTCCTTTTTTTCCCCCCGCCAGGTGTCACTCTGCCAACTTGAACGGTTTGTACTACAAAGGGCCCTACACTGCAATGACAGATAATGGAATTGTTTGGTACACTTGGCACGGCTGGTGGTATTCACTGAAATCTGTTGTCATGAAGGTCAGACCAGCAGACTTTGAACCTAATATTGTTTAAGTATTTTATTACGACAATTTATCTAGTTAATCTTTCAGCAAATCTATCCAAATTAAAGCAGATGGGCAGACTTTTGCTTCTTATCTATACATCTATAAATCCAGAATAATTCCTCGACAACCAACAGTTCTTCAGCCGTAAATGAGAAGAAATCTGGCCTAGGAATATGTAGATACAAATACCAGTACTAGTATGTGTACAGGATTTTTTTTAAAAGGCAGGAGTTCATCTAGGAGTAAGGGCATCTTTGTTAACACGGAGAATTTTTGGCTTATGCAGTAACTACAAGGCCTTTTATCTTTTTAACAAAAGAAGTCTTATTTATGTTTTCCTTTTCTTTCCTGTCACTCACTTTTCAGCTCCCTGTATCTGCAGTGGAAGCAACCATGATGATTTGGCTCATACTACTTTGTATTTTTTCCATCAGGATATTATTTTAACATAAGTCACTATATTGTCTTAAAACTTATGATGAATTGTATGAATTACACCCAAAGTCTATGTGAAAATAACTTTAAGGTTGCCTTACTGAGTGGATGGAATATGCTTTTTTTAGAATGAATCAAGGCTTTAGAGGAAACGAGTTGTCTATAAATTCCTCTGATTTATTTGATGCATACACTGTGTACATAGTGTGCATATAATGTATAAAGAACAAGGCAGGGTACTGAAGGAACAGAGATGCTACCAGGCTAGAATCAATTGAATCCAGCATATAAAAGTTCATTGTCTCTGTCTTTGCTGAAGCATTCCTAAAGCTGGTCACATCATTTCAACCAAACATTTTTAGATGGCCAGTAATTATGCCTTCCTTCTTTTTGGTAATGAGCTAGATATCCTGGACTTTAAGATATTGATATTTGGATTTTACCAAAATGCTGAATACCAAAAAATGCAACGGATTTTCATGGGAGCTGTGCTTTGAACATAGACTATCATAACACATATGCAGATGGTACTGTGTTTCACATGCACTCTTAATTCTGTTGTTTTAGAGGTTTTTAGTGCTAGACTCAATACATCTTAACTTTCTTTTAAGTACTGGTCAGTCTCCAAGGCTGTCCCAATTTGAATATCCTTTCCAGTCACTTCTAAGAGGTTCTAATTCTAAGCGTATAACTTCTCCTTTTCCTACATCCTCATCTTGACTCCTTGGGTTTTTCCTCTTCTCAAGCTGCAGGTGCATATTGCTCTTGCACAAGAAAAAAACTCGAGAGAGAGTCTATCTACCCACTACATTCATGCCCACCATCACAATAGACTGTAATAGTTAGCCAGGAAATAACAAAAATCTCTGATTAGTGTTTGCAGCTGTGGAGATGAATAGGCACAAAAAAGCTATCTGCTGAAATGTCATCCATTTCTGCTAAGCATGTAAGAATCAAGATTTTACAAAACAGTTGGATCTGAGCCAAACTTAGGCATTTTTCATTTCCCTGCTTCCTAAAATAATTTTACTTTTGTGATTATACTGCCAGTCTCTGTGTTTCTGTCTGTCCAAATAGAATTTTTGAACCTGGTAGCCAATTTCAGTCATATTTAACATAGCTGAGACTAACTTGCCAACCTATGGATCAGTTCACGTCTATAATGATGTGAATACAGTCGGCTGAATGTGAACTCCCTGCATGGCCATTCTTCCTTCCATTCCCGTCCTCCAAGAACAGAAGTTTGGTAAGAAAGAGTTCATGAAAGAATCTTATGGAAGAAGAGAGGGAGGATGTGCTGAAGAGCTGAAAAAAAGAGAGGTGCATATAAAACAATTTATCCCACTCTTTAAGATAAATCAAATCGCACTTAAATGAAATGGGGATGTAAGTGAAGAAAAAATGGAGTCTGAGCAGGAAAAAAGAATATTAGCATGCATAGAAGGTGTTGATAAAAATCTGCAATATACAGGTTTTCAGTTTTGTGTTTTTTGTGATGATGGCAGATATTCCAGACAATCCAACCTCTTTCTCAAAGTATCAATGGATGTTCTGCCAGATGTTTCTAGCCTTAAGCACATCACTCTACCTCTGCATGAGATGACCAATGGATAGCTCTAGAACTGCTTATTTGGAGCCTTCTTTAATCAGTTAAATCAAATTACTTATCTGCTAGGAAGACACTCAGGCACCATATATATATATACACATATACACACACACACACACACATACGTATACATATATGTATGCATATATCTAGCTATATATTCAGCATTCAGCATTATAACAGAACATCTGATAGGTATTTCTATCCAATTTTATTACTGAACTTCAAATGAGTTCCTGAGTAGCTCTACGTGTCATTAAGAATAAGATGGAAATTTTGGAGCAGTTTATAAAGATGTTGTAAGTACAGTATTTCCCATGGCAATGTTCAAATTCTTTTGCTACTCTGAGAAGAGAAACATTTAACTCTCTGCTAAAACACAGATGACATTATGCAGAAATTGTAAAAACACCCTTAGTTTTTCACAGGAAAATGGAAAGAAGATTAGCTCATATATTTTGAGAGTATCAAGCCAGATCATATTGCACTTAATGTAAATATAAGACATAGAGGATTTATGTACAGCACAGTTGGATCTCTAGCACACAAAAAAGACTTACTAACATGTACAGATTGTGCTGATAAAATCTGCAATATTTATTTTGTTTGCTGCAGTATAAATCCATCCTTTTTATTGTGAGATTGCTAATGAAACCCTTCAGCTGAATTAGGACACTTTTCTGGTATTTGAATGTAAAAGTTGCAAGGAATAAAAGTCGACTCCCTTTCTTTCTTGGAAATCATACAAAGAAAGAGGAACAAATCTTTCTGTGTACATGTTAAAATGCATGTATTTGTTGATTATTTGGACTGCATGCTCTTCAGAACAAGGACTTTGTCATCCTAGCTGTCTGAAAAGCATCTAGCGTACTGTTAGCAATATGCAAATACATTAATTCCCACCATGTTTTTAGGGCCTTTCTTTACGTAATAATTCTTTTTGGCCACATGAAAAACATATGAAAAGTCTTGTAATTCAAAATGGTAATACAGTTGTTCTTAAATAAACAAAACCTGTATTTTCAAAGAGCAAGTTTAAATAGCTACTGGAACAGAGAGTACAGCTTGGAAGAGAAACCGCAAGTATTCCTTTCTCTGCCTGGCATGGTCTGCTAGTATTAATTTACTTCCTCAAGAGGTATGACCGTGTTTTAGAGGGATCTTTATTTTTACAAAGACCTGTTTGTTTGTTTAAGCATTAGACAGAACTACATAACAACTCCAAAACAGCGGAAAATGAATATATATCACTTGTTATAAATCATATAACCCAACAGAAAAATGATCAAGGAAATAACAAGGAAAATGGTTTGCCAGTCATGATTAATAAAGAACATAATCTTAGCCGCTGGTAATGTGTAACAAAAATATCTCTTTTTGTAATATTTGTTCCAGGGAAAAATCTTTATATTTTCCATTATCTAGTTCTGTTTTATTCATTTTGCCTAACATTTTGGAGATTAAAAGAATGGAAACCACAAGCCTGAGTGAATTAAGTGAATGGTAAAAGGGCCTGATAAGCAACAACATTTGTCTTCTCTAGAATGCCTAGTATGTGCTGACAAAGAGAGGATGTACCACAAACTGGCCTACACACTTCTAGTAGAGCCTCTTCTCTGCAGCTCTACTGCCTAACTAGGGACTACCTCTCCCCACCGTTCCTCCCACTGCTATTCCTGATACCAATTCTTGAACCCCTTTTCAACGTGCTGTTCTGTCAAAGCCACTTGTTATCCTAGCTGTTAGCAAAATGGTTCCTCCCAGAAAGAGGAACCTAACGCAGCTTCCCAGATCTCTGAGCATTCCCATCATGTTCCTTTAACTTACTCCTGACTAACTCAAAGACAAAAAGAATGCAAATGCAACTTTTAATTTTTTTCAGTAGTCTTAAGTGCTCTTTGGCAGCTGTGGAAGAGTAGAAAGAGTAGAAAAAGCATCCAGGAAAGTGTCCTGTATCTAAATTTTCAAAAGCACACACCTGAAAATTTCTTGTTTTGTTTTTTAAACTGTCTATTGAGAGGTTGACTTAGAAAACAAAAAATAGAGCTGTTCAAAACTAGGAGTACTTTGAAAATGAATGCGAGCATATGCTTGCTGTTTCCTCAGAGTATGTCTGAGAATTGTGAAAACAGCAAGGTCTCAAACATTCAGCCAAAATCCATCTGCTTATATGCTGAGAAAGAAGTTACCATATTCTGTTAGTTAAAATGTTTGTTCCTCTTCTACATAAGAAGATAATTTAATATTTTACGGTAACAGTTGCTCTTTGATGTTTCATTAGCATTTTGCTGAAAACAGTGTTCATCCAGAATCATCTTTTCTATATCCCTGAGGCCGAACTTAACCTTAGTTTAGTGCCAGATGAAATCCAGCTTGTCATTGCTACATCTTCAGTTAACTAAGACAGTCCTTCTTAATCCTACCCTAATGTTAAATACATTGCATCAAAACCGGAATGTTGTTATCCAAGTACTGATTACACAAGTCCAGAGCCAACTTCATCTAATTGTTTGCTTACAAAAGAACCAAATCATAGCCTCTGCAAAAAAATTCAAACAAACTGTAGCTCACTTTTTTCTCTTCCTTTCCTCAGCGACTCATAAACACTTAAGTTTCTTTTACCTGTATCCTACAGAATCTAAGCTTCCTTCCTTCCCTCCTTCCTTCCCTTCTTAATGGCAGTCAGATCTTTAATCTCTGCCCTTTGCTGTGGTTTGCCTGCACAGCTGGTGAACTCCTGGCTTAAGGAACTTGGGTAGCTCTGAGGTTCTGCAGAAGCTGAGCAAAGGCTTTAAGAAGCTAAATGTTGGACTGAAGGCACCTAAAATAGCCATTCGGTCTCTAAATCCATTATGGGCATCAGTGTCCAGTCTAGTTTATAACCAGATTGGACTGAATTATTGTAATTAATGTATCATCCAACATTGCAGGCAGGAAGGTAAGCAAATTCGCCTTGGAAGTATACGGGTCTCACCAATGATTACACGTATGTTGGTGCTTCCAGTTTTGCTGGCCAGAGTTCAGGGTTCCAATTTTCAATTCACGGTCTTCCAAGCAACTGCAAAATTGCGTTGCCACAGAAGCCACTGGGCTGGCACTTTCTACAACATGACAGTTCATATTAAATTAGATAAACACACATTAGTGACATGTGAGAGCATAAAGGCTTTTATGTTAGTGATATCCTGCACTAGATGGTGCTCTGTACATGTTGTAATTTCTTAGGCACTACCACATTTGTAAACTAGTACAAACATTTCTCATCATCAAGTTACATTACTTAGAAGGTTATAGGAAATAATGTCTAAAGTGCTTCAGTGACTTAACTCACTTTTAAAATAAAGCATGAGTTCCTAAGGATACCTAAAGCCTATGGGAATTCATAGCATCTAATTATCTTTAGGTATGTCATATTTAAGCTGTTAAATTGTGATCTCTTTAATTTAAAAAGCCTTGCATTTATTTATTACAAAAGTAATTCGTATCGTCTGCTGATTAGTGAACAGAAACAAAACTATGAAACTTCCAAACAGTACCTAAACTAATACATCTGCACAACTAAATTCCTGCTAAATGCTGTGATCGCTCTGCTGCTCTTTCCTGACATGGTCTCCCTCTATTTTTCATATCTCAATTACACTGAAATTTGAGGGAACTACACTGGAGTTAGGCACATCTTTATATCATAATACAAATAATAAGCATTCGAATATTCCTCATGGCCAGGAAATTAAGATTTTGTGAACACTTGCAGCAGGATGAAGTAAGTGCCTGTGCCATACTGGATTCTACAGTGCCTGAATTCACTGCAGGGAGAACAGGAAATCCATCTCTTGCCAAAATGGCATCTGGGAAAAGCACCCTCCCAGAAATTAGTGACTCATTCGTGCGGTACTCAGCAAACGTAAAATTTATGCTGCAGGCAATGGTTAAAAGGCCTTCCAAGTCTCACTCTATAGTCTAGTGTCTAAGTTTGAATTTGTAACACTTGCAAGAGATAAAAACACTCTGTCTTGTGATAAAGGGGATTTCACTGGTTTTAATGCATTTGCATTAAGAAATGCATTAGTGCATTTCTTTTCTTGTTTCTAATAACTTTTAATTACGCATTTTAATTATCCCATAGACGTTTTTGAAATAATGCTCAAATTGTTCGAGTCCTCACCCTCTCTGTCATCCTCTCTCAGTCATTCAGCATGCTTAACTGAAGACCTCAGTAGACAGTTCTCATCTATTTCTCCTATTGCTTCTTCCCAGTAAGGGGTTTAAACTGCTTCTGAGATGGTTTCGCTACCCCTCTGAGTCAATACAATGAAAAATCAAACCAATCTTGAAGAATATAAGTCATTCTTAATCTGAAATTTTTAAGTAAAAAGTTCTGGAGTAGTGAAGGAAGGGAAGGGCTTCCTTTTTATGTTTACACAGCTTGGAAAAAAAAAGTCATTAATAGTTGCAATCCAGGACAATAAGTTTCAAATTCTAATTTATTTTTCTCTTTAACTCTCCCATGAAAGCCTTGGAGTCTCTACACCTGGCATAAAAGTCTCATATATATGATACTAACAAGCATTATACATTAAAGCATTACGTACTGGACACCTTTCCAGTTACATAATTGTCAACTTGATTTTTTTCAAAAGAATGAACAAAATCAACCTCTGATGTAAATCAACTGCGTCCAGTAAAGTTACACTGGGGATGAATTTGACCTGTCATCTGTTCCTCAAGCAGGTTTATCTACACGGTATTCCAAAGAAAACACAGCTTTAACAACAAATCCTTTCTAATATTCTAATTTCTCACTAAAAAGGTATCAGTCATAATCATTATATAGCATCCTAGCTTATATCTGATACTCAGACCTGAATTGGTTTCAGTAAGCGTAGCTTCATTACACCGCTTGGGAACGCAGCCCTGTAAGTCTGTATGTGTTCTTTAATTTCTAACATACTAATGATCCAAAACCTTCTCCCATGTTATAAGAACAATAAAAACATCTTTACCTGTGCTCAGCTGAGCTAGAAAGAAATAACGAGACTGCTCATGACATCTCTGACTTACTTGTTGATGCATGTGGCTATAAATTCTCTATGTAGGGCTCACAATGTCCTGTCCCTCTTACTGTATATTAACTAACCCTCAAAAACAAAATTCCAGAAAAATGAAGACACCCTGCAGCTTTTCAAAGAACATCACCGAAGATGATGAATGAGCATCAGGCTGTTCAACGTATGAAGAGTGCCAGACAGAAAAAATAATTACATCAAATTCACTTCGGAGGTCTTCTGGAACTAGCATATTCATCACAAAAAATGATGATAGGGAAAATTCCTTACAGAACAGCACTACCATAAAGTTTCCAGCAGGTGCAACATAATTTATGTGGCTATTTACCTATATTTCTTACTTGATGGTCGTCTTCATCTAAGACAACTTTAAAAAATTACTAAGCTCTCTTCTATAGACTTTGATCATGAAAAGCTCCTACTGGGGAATACAAAAGATGACCTGTTTCCCCCAAAAAACATCCTGCATGTTCTTTGTTATATCAGTGAGAATATAGATATTTCTGAAGAACTCAGTGGAAGTTGATGTCTGGCAGCTGCCTTGTCTCTATTCACCTCCTTTATTTTACCTACAGTATCTCCTTTCAGTTGAACAGTGCTGGAACCAATAATGTAAAATGAGACACGAGAGAAGTCAGCTGCTAATAAAAGGTTCCACTGTCCTTTCTTGCTGACCCACTAATTTAAATGCAAGCAACTCTGAAGCGATACCAGAGGAAGCCTTCATTGGGGTATATTTTTATTTAATCATTAAAACATAGATGTTTTAGCAGACTGCTTCTTGGAAATGTTGTGACATAAATCCTCAACTACAGATATGCTTCTTAGATCATTTGATAAAAATAAGTATTTTAAGCAAACCCTTTATTATTGTCTGAGAGGAAAAATACTGCAGTACTGTTTATTTAACTGTTTATTTTACCATTGAAGAGTCTAACCAGAGTGGGAAGAGGACAAGTGATGAAAATTAAAATCCTTTCTCCAGGACATGAACATATGAAAGATAGGGGAAAAGACTGGACCCATTTAGATCCACGAGTCTCATTTTCTGATTATAAACAACAACAAGAAGAAAGCGTACACATTTTCAGTAAAAGGAATGGAACCTAGAATTCAGTACGTAGATACACAAGCGAGAATAGCTGTTCCCTCTTCCAGCTCTGATTTTCTATGTGTCACAGAGCAAGTCACTGAACCCCCTGGTACTCTCCTCATGTGTGAGAGAAATATGGTTTAGCCATTTTACAGAGCACTCTGAAACCTCCCAAGGAAACATAATTCAAGGACTGAGTTTTATTCCATTACTAAGCTAGGCTACTAGGTCTGTCTGAGCCATGTCTGTAAACAGAGATCTTGAGGTTTTCATTTGGATAAAACCTTATCAGCAGCATCTCCTAC